TGAGATCCTCCGACATAATCACTCCCAGGTCTTTGACGTTGGTGTTTCGCTCTATTTTGTGGCCAGAAATTTGTTTTGTACTCTGATGAAGATTTAATTTCCTCATGTTTACCATATCTGAGTAATTGAAATTTCTCATCGTTGAACTTCATATTGTTTTCTGCAGCCCACTGAAGATTTGGTTGATGTCCGCCTGAGCCTTGCAGTGTCTGCAATGGAAGACACTGTCATGCAGATTCGGGTGTCATCTGCAAAGGAAGACACTGTGCTGTGGCTGACATCCTTGTCTATGTCGGATATGAGGATGAGGAACAAGATGGGAGCTAGTACTGTGCCTTGTGGAACAGAGCTTTTCACCGTAGCTGCCTCGGACTTTACTCTGTTGACGACTACTCTCTGTGTTCTGTTAGTGAGGAAATTATAGATCCATCGACCAACTTTCCTGTTATTCCTTTAGCGCGCATTTTGTGCGCTATTACGCATGGTCACACTTGTCGAAGGCTTTTGCAAAGTCTGTATATATTACATCTGCATTCTTTTTGTCTTCTAGTGCATTTGGACCTTGTCGTAGTGATCCAGTAGTTGAGACAGACAGGAGCGACCTGTTCTAAACCCATGTTGCCCTGGGTTGTGTAACTGATGGGTTTCTAGATGGGTGGTGTCTTGCTTCTTAGGACCCTTTCAAAGATTTTTATGATATGGGATGTTAGTGCTATTGGTCTGTAGTTCTTTGCTGTTGCTTTACTGCCCCCTTTGTGGAGTGGGGCTATGTCTGTTGTTTTTAGTAACTGAGGGACGACCCCCGTGTCCATGCTCCCTCTCCATAGGATGGAAAAGGCTCGTGATAGGGGCTTCTTGCAGTTCTTGATGAACACAGAGTTCCATGAGTCTGGCCCCGGGGCAGAGTGCATGGGCATGTCATTTATCGCCTGTTCGAAGTCATTTGGCGTCAGGATAACATCGGATAGGCTTGTGTTTAATCAAATTTTGTGGCTCTCTCATAAAAAATTCATTTTGATCTTCGACTCTCAGTCTGGTTAGCGGCTTGCTAAAAACTGAGTCATATTGGGACTTGAGTAGCTCACTCATTTCCTTGCTGTCATCTGTGTAGGACCCATCTTGTTTAAGTAGGGGCCCAATACTGGACGTTGTTCTCGATTTTGATTTGGCATAGGAGAAGAAATACTTTGGGTTTCTTTCGATTTCATTTATGGCTTTTAGTTCTTCCCGCGATTCCTGACTCCTAAAGGATTCTTTTAGCTTAAGTTCGATGCTTGCTATTTCTCTGACAAGTGTCTCCTGCGCATTTCTGATATATTGACCTCTTTTAGCCGCTCTGTTATTCTTTTCCGTCGCCTGTAAAGGAGCGCCTGTCTCTTTCTATTTTACATCTATCCTCCTTTTTCTTAGAGGAATAAGCCTTGTGCATACATCGAGTGCCACCGAGTTAATCTGTTCTAGGCATAAGTTTGGGTCTGTGTTGCTTAGTATATCTTCCCAGCTTATATCGGTTAGGACTTGGTTTACTTGGTCCCACTTTATGTTTTGTTATTGAAGTTGAATTTGGTGAATGCTCCCTCGTGACTAGTCTCATTTTGTCGGTCTGAGGCTCCACGCATACATGTCTGAACCTCAATTATGTTGTGATCTGAGTATATTGTTTTTGATATGGTGACATTTCTTATCAGATCATCATTGTTAGTGAGATGAGGTCTAGTGTATTCTCCAGTCTAGTAGGCTCTATTATTTGCTGGTTTAAATTGAATTTTGTGCAGAGATTTAAAAGCTCGTGTGAGTGTGAGTTTTCATCAGAGCTGCCTCCTGGTGTTATTACTGCAACAATATTATTTGCTATATTCCTCCATTTTAGGGGCCTTAAGTTGAAATCCCCCAGGAGCAAGATGTTGGGTGCAGGAGCTGGAAGATTTTCCAGACAGTGGTCAATTTTTAACAGCTGTTCCTGGAATTGCTGGGATGTTGCATCCGGAGGCTTGTAGACTACCACAATGACTAGGTTTTGGTTCTCGACCTTTACTGCTAAAACTTCCACTACGTCATTTGAGGATTAAGCAGTTCTGTGCAAACAAGTGACTCTGCAATGTACAGGCCAACCCCCCCTTTTGCCTGTTCACTCTGTCACATCTGTATAGGTTGTAACCTGGGATCCATATTTCGTTGTCCAAGTGATCCTTTATGTGGGTCTCAGTGAAAGCCGCGAACATTGCCTTTGCCTCTGCAAGCAGTCTACGGATGAAAGGTATTTTGTTGTTTATTGCTGGCTTTAGACCCTGTATATTTGCAAAGAAGAATGTTATCGGACTGGTGGTATTGTTGGTACTGGGGGGGGATTTTTTTTCCGGCATTAGTATCTGTATCTGTTGGTTTGGAGTGGAGGCCATCGACTGTGGTTCCACTCCGGGAAATTTGACTGGATTTGGTGTACGGATTTCTCCCATTCCTGCCAGTTTTTTTTCCTTCCTGGCACTAAAAAACCTCCCCCTCTTGAGTGGCTGTGGCTACCCGGTTTTCCCATGGCCTGGATGTTTGATCTTTTTGTCCCCTTAGATGGTATGCCTGGCAATTTAAGTTATAGCACAGTCTTTCCTGTACTGAAGAGGTACACATTTCAGGGTGAAAAAGCTTACAGGAAGGGAGTTTGCATTTTCCTGTTGTCATATGGGCATGACATTTTCTAGGGTGGTCATAGTTGCATGTCCCATCTGTTTTTCCAGATTTCCCATGCCAGCAGATACCAAGTGCATAGTATGTGCACAGGCACATGTTGCAGTGATGACAAGTGTTGTGTTGTAGTGGTGACAAGTGTTGTCTTGTAGTGGTGAAAGTGTGGTGTTGCAGTGATAGCAAGTGTTGTGTTGTAGTGGTGATAAATGTGGTGTTGTAGTGCTGATTAGCGGTGTTGTAGTGGTGACAAGTGTTGCGTTGTAATGGTGGTAAGTGTTGAAGAGGTGATAAGTGTGGTGTTGTAGTGTAGTGGTGATAGTGTGGTGTTGTAGTGGTGATAAATGTGATGTTGTAGTGATGACAAGTGTGGTGTTGTAGTGGTGATAAATTTGGTGCTGTAGTGATGGTGGTAAGTGTGGTGTTGTAGTGGTGATAAATGTGGTGCTGTAGTGGTGGTTTGGGAAGTGTGGTGTTGTAGTGGTGATAAGTGTGGTGTTGTAGTGGTGATAAGTGTGATGCAGTAGTGTAGTGATGATAAGTGTGGTGCTGTAGTGGTGATAAGTGTGATGCAGTAGTTTAGTGATGATAAGTGTGGTCTTGTAGTGGTAATAAGTGTGGTGTTGTAGTGGTGATAAGTGTGATGCAGTAGTGTAGTGATGATAAGTGTGATGCAGTAGTGTAGTGATGATAAGTGTGATGCAGTAGTGTAGTGATGATAAGTGTGATGCAGTAGTGTAGTGATGATAAGTGTGATGCAGTAGTGTAGTGATGATAAGTGTGATGCAGTAGTGTAGTGGTGATAAGTGTGGTGTTGTAGTGGTGATAAGTGTGATGCAGTAGTGATGATAAGTGTGATGCAGTAGTGTAGTGATGATAAGTGTGATGCAGTAGTGTAGTGATGATAAGTGTGATGCAGTAGTGTAGTGATGATAAGTGTGGTGTTGTAGTTCACTACAACACCACACTTATAATGTGTAGTGATGATAAGTGTGGTGTTAAGTAGCTCACTCATTTCCTTGTTGTCATCTGTGTAGGACCCATCTTGTTTAAGTAGGGGCTAGCTGAGATGAGACGTTGAAGTTTATTCTGTAGTTTAGAAGAATGAATTTGTGCATTCAGGCGAGCAGTGTCAAAGGCAATGGTAGAGAGAAGGTTACAGAGATCCTGTGGTAGAGCCGCAAAGAGAGCACGTTGACGTTGACGGAAAGTAAAGAAGGCATCTGCAACCTGTGATTTAGTAGAAAGAATGAGCTGTTGAAGTAGGAGACGGGCATGATCAGGAAAGGGAGTGCCCAGTGGGTTGGTTTTCAGGAAATGGGAGAAGGAAGGTGGCAGAACTCGTTCAGCAAGACAGCCACGTAGGAAGCGAAGCTGATTCTTACGACGCCGGGTAGCAATAAGAGCAGCCTCATAAGATCGAAAGAGGGGTTTAAAAGAGGAAGAACATTAAAAAAGTTGGAGAGAATATTACGCTTAACTGCGGGGTCCATAAATAACAAAAAAAGGCACAATACCGTGACTGGAACGATACACAAATAACCCGCACATAAAAGAGAGAAGCTTACGACGACGTTTCGGGCCGACTTGGACCATTGACAGAGTCACACTAACCAGAGGTGGAGCAGGACGGCTATATATAGGCAGGAAGAGGTAGTGGTAGTAGTAGTAGTAGTAGTAGTAGTAGTAGTACAAGAATTGTATATAATACCGACAGAAGGCCGGAAGGCCTTAGACAGATGACCAAAACTCCCAAGGCGGGTCATCATCTAAGACTCGAGTTAGGAAACAATTGTCCTGTTTCCTTACGAACCTTACTTAACCTAACCTACCTGAAATGATCTGCATAACTGTAAGTTTATTAAGGTACAGGTACACATAAATACAGTTAGACATATTCTCATATATACTAAAATATGTCTAAAATACCTAGGCTATCCCCAAAATAAAGTTAGTGACTTATTTCCATTGGGGTCTTTGTGATATCTTTATTTTAACCTTATAGATTAAAACAGCTAAGTAACTCAACTGTGTCAAAATCAGATATAATAAAAGTAGATTAGTAGGTTTATTAAGGTACAGGTACACATAAATACAGTTACACCAATTATCATACATAAACTAGGAATAAGGGAAACTATAGGATTTGTGCATATTATTATTATTATTATTATTATTATTATTATTATTATTATTATTATTATTATTATTATTATTATTATTATTATTATTATTATACTATTATTATTATTATCATTATTATTACAAGTTTTATATTAATATTGGTATAGTTGGCACTCATGGATGGCAGATGAGAGGTTGTTTACTGTTGTTGGGAAGGACGAGGCTGGCACTGCACTAATGTGTCATTTATACACTTTCTACACCTTATTCACCAGTGTAATCACTCCAGTACACTGTACACCAATGTACATGAGTACAGTTCATGGGGGGAAGGTAAGGGAGGAGAAGTTTGTGTTATAAATACAAGTATATGAGGACGTGTGTGGCTGCTTTGTCAGCGTCTCTCTGGGTAAACTTGTTTTTTTTGGTCATTATTCTTCATGGAAATGAGTAAGTGACTAAACTATACTACGTATGTTAAATATGAACCACTTGGGATGTTTGCGAGTAAGTTACTGATGCTGGCATGGTGGAGAGCATGAGTTTTGAGTAAAAGAATGAATAGGACTGGAAATTAGACCCACATGGCCGGCGAGATGTGTAAGTCACACAACCACATACATTATTCTATATTATTTTTCTACATTAAATCTATGTTTTATTACAGTGTTAATACAACATACAGGTTTAAAATCTTTATATTTTATTACCACTGTAAGACTGTAATAATTATGCTCATAAAGTTTGCAGTTTATAAGTTTAAAACCCAATGGAAATAATTTAATGAAAATAAGTCACTTTTTCTAACTTTTTTGGGGTTATCCTACGTAATTTACACTATGTGAGATAAATGTACTTATGTGTACCTGTGTCAAAATTAACTTACTTGAAGCACTGTTGCTACTATTTTTATTTGGAAGCTTTGGAGCTAGTGAAATTGAACAATAAATTTGATGAATCATTAAACTGAATGATTTTATTGGTTCCTTATTACAGTATATTGTTTCAGGAGTGAGGCATGTTGTGTCTTCTCATCAGTTTCTGAAGTAGGTGTCCTGAATCCAGCATGACTTGTGTTTGGCTTGCTCTGGTAAGCAAACTAACCAATCAGCTGCATGTATTAAATTGTATGTGTATTGTATTTATATAGCAGTCATAAGAGTAAGTATAGTATATGGCCCATGGCCTAGTAGGTAACTCTTTTACTTCACACGCTGAGTGACCGTGGTTCGATCCCCAGCAAGGATGGAAACGTTGGACGTTTCCTTACACCTGTTGTCCTATTCACTTTGCAAGCAAGTTGGTACCTGGTGTTAGTCGACTGGTGTGGGTTGCATCCTGGAGGATAAGATTGAGGACCCCAATGTAAATTAGACACAGTCCCTTGATGACACACTACCTTTCCTGGGTTATCTTGAGTGGCTAACCCTCTGGGGTTAAAAATAAAAAAAAAAATCTTATAATAATAATAATAATAATACTCTTAATTTCTACAAGTATACATGTAGTACAAGCCAGGCTGTGGTTCGTACGTTGGATTGCGTGCCGCCAGCAATAATAGCCTGGTTGATCAGGCCCTGATCCACCATGAGGCCTGGTCACAGACCGGGCCGTGGGAGCGTTGACCCCCGGAACTTTCTCCAGGTAAACAAAGTATACAGGCTGCTTAGCTGACATCAGTGACATAATACTATATAGAAAGCTCCATGTTATGCAGAGCATTTGGGCAAATTAAGTCAGTTTTCTCCCAGGATGCAACCCACATCAGTCAACTAACACCCAGGTACCCATTTTACTGATGGGTTAACATGGACAGCAGGTACCTTGAGGAAACGTCCTAATGGTTCCTGCTGTACCAGGGAATCGACCCCTGGGCCTCAGTGTGTGAGCTGAGTGCGCAAGCAATTGAGCTACACAACACCAATATCTATATAAGATTTGTTTATGTGATGAATTCTGTATCAAATTTATCATAGCCTCTAGGAATTGCTTTCGTATCAAGCATAATTTAGTCGCACACAGTCATTTCAGCATCAAATCAAATATAGTCACATGCAGTTAGTTCACTTCTATTAAGCCAAGCATAGATTCTTCCAATTTCTTTGGTATCAAACCTGTTGTAGTCACATGCAGTTAGTTCAGTATCAAATCAAACTCACCTGCATTTCATGCAGTCAGCTCACTAGCCACTCTAACATAGCCTCATGGAATGATTTCATTACTAAACTTAACACAGCATCTGGCAGTCAGTTCACAAATCAAATTACAGCAGTGTACCCTTATACAGTTAGTTCACTCTTGTAACTATGTCAATTATTCCTCTGTCAATTGTTATACTGTACTTTATGAAAATAAGGATTGTCACTGCTCACTGTCACTGTCTTACAACTGACACACTAACTTCTAATACCTAGCTCCATCAATACCTGTACCTTTTAAAATACCATACTTAATATTAAAATCACTGGAAGAAAAAAGCACACAAAACAGCATGAGCCTTTATATAATGTAGCTTTACTTTTGGGAAAGCTTTATCAAGTTTTCCCTTGACAACTTATTAAACCTTCCCTTAATGTGAAACATTATTATTATTATAAAGGCTTGAACAGTTCTGTGTCTTTTTTATCCACCTACCAAGCACCCCAATGGATATAAGTCACTTTATCTGGCTTTTTTGGGTTATCCTAGGTAATTTAAAAATACCTGGAATACACCTGGAGAGGGTTTCAAAAAAATAAAAAATAAAAATAAAAATTTTATTTCTTTGGTAAGGTTACAACGTTTACATTTCATAATTGGAGTGGTACAAAGAAAGCCACTATTGTGCCGAGGCATTTCAGGCAGACTTAACTTAATACTTAAAGACTACTTAATGCCCCCATGGCCCGGTCTGTGACCAGACCTTGTGGTGGATCAGGGCCTGATCAACCAGGCTGTTACTGCTGGCCACACGTGAGCCAACACACGAACCACAGCCTGGCTTGGCAGGGTTCTGATTTTAGGTGCCTGTCCAGCACCTTGAAGACAGCCAGGGGCCTATTGGTAATCCCCCTTATGTATGCCAGGAGGCAGTTGAACAGTCTTGGGCCCCTGACACTCATATTGTGTTTTCTCCTAGCGTACTTATGGTGCCCCTGCTTTGCAATGGGGGGATGTTGCATTGCCTGCCGAGTCGTGCTTTTGTAGGGTTTGATGTTCATGTACAGATTTGGGATTAGTCCCACAAGGATTTTCCAAGTGTATATTATCATGTTACTATGTATGATAATTATGCTTATGTGTACCTGTACCTATACCTGGGGTATATCTGGAGGGTGTTTGGGGGGGCCAGTGCCCTGCAGCTTGGTCCATGACAAGGCCTCACAGTGGATCAAGGCCTGATCAACCAGGTTGTTACTGCTGGCTACACACAAATTGACATACGAACCACACACTGGCTGGTCAGGTACTGACTTTAGGTGCCTCTCCAGCTCCCCCTTACTTACCTATATAATTTAAATCAGTACAAAGTAAGCAGCAGTTCAATGCCAATGCAACAGTGCAACAGTGCCTGCATTGCAGCTAATATAGTAGACTGTTTCATTATTATTAGGAAGCATAGTTAACAGTCCCATCCCAAGGTTATACTACGCTGCTACACATCTGTAAGGCTTTACCTAGATTACACAGCACAAATCTGGTCTCCATATTAAACAAAATGCACAGAAAATACTTAGGAAAACAAACAGTGAAATTCAACAAAGGATGTCTACTCCTGCCAATGGACTGAAAGGATATAGGAGAGAACTGGTTTGGTAATACAGTTGTGGATGAATGGAAAAAAAATGCAAAGTAATGTTACTGAAGCAAATATTTTGGGTAGCTCTAAAAATAAGCTAGATAAGTACATGCATGAGAATGACTTTGCTCAAGTATGACTTGCTTTCTATGGGATTGCAGGCCTACTGTTGTGCTTCCCTACTCATATGCTTTATGTTTAGTTTGATAGCGAAATGAATACTTAAGGATAGGTTAGACTTACTATACCATGAGAAGCCCCAGATTATGCAGAGCATATCAGGCAGCCTTAAAATTAACTTTAAGCTAGTGAACATTTATTACATTAATGTTAGTTTACTAGAAACTTGTGGTTTACAATGTCTGATATTTTGTTTTTTACATTGAAGTGAAACATATTGACTAATATAATCTGTGCAGAATTGAGGTCAGATTAAGGAGGTGGTTTTAATTATTTTAAATACTTTTGAAGCAGGTGATAGATAGGGAACTTTTTGCATCTTCCAGCTGGGAATTCCATATTTTAGGGCCTTTTATTTTCGTAGAGTTCCTATATAGGTTGAGATTCTTATTTCTTGTATTTTTGTGTGTTCTGTTGCAGCTCTCCAGGAAGAGTTGGAGTATTGGGTTGAAGTTCATAGTTTCTAAGGTTTTTCAAACCTATAGCTGCCCTCAGCATGTGCACTTATGAGATAATTTTTATTATTTCTTGTTATTAATACAGTGTTGTACTATTTTACATATTTTAAGTTTAATATTATGTATCCTTTGTATTCTTGTACAGAATGATATGAAGCCCACATCTAGATGTAGACCTGTACATCTTCGGCTTTCTCAAAATTCGCTTCAAAAGGATCAAGTGGAAGACAAGAAACTTTCCATAAGTAAAATGGAGATGGCAGTATGCAATCAAAAGTTTTCAGGTAAAGTATGTAAAAAAAGCAAAAACTTGCCCCAGAAGAATCAAATGTACACGATGGAAGAGTGCTACAATGAAGATGAGGAAATCCCCAGCAATAGTATGGAGAGAGTGCTATGCAATCAGAAGCTCTCACATAAAGTATGTAAAAAGAGACCCAAAAAGGCCAAGATGAAAATTAAGTTTTCAGGACTGAGAAAAGATTTGGTGTTGAAAACCAAACAAGAGGTGATTAAGAATGATAAGCACAGTTTAAAGAAGATTAAAAAAAAAAATAAAGCACAGTATCAGGCAAGTGATGCCAATGTGTGTGAAGGAACTGAAACTGCTGGCAAGAAATTATACTCTGAAGGAAAGAAGTGTAAGAAATTATGTTCCAGAAGAGGTAGAAACTTGAGTAGGCCAAAGGAAAGTAAGAGTATTTGTAAACTTAAAGTAACAGATGAATCTTCAAGCATGGAACCTGAAATAAAAATGGAAAAATTGGAGGATGTTAATGATATTCAGTTAGTAAAAGATAAGGAAAATAAAGAGGAAAACCCTCTGGGAATTGATGTGATAAACAGGATAGAAAATGAGCAGAGAGAATTAATTGAGATTGATTCAGTGGGGAAGGAAGGGAGATTTGAGGAGAGAAAAGTGTGTATTGTGAGAGATGCCTTGGTGGAAAAGGCTGAATATTGCCCGAGTGAAACTAAATCAGAAATACGAAGGAAAAACAGTGAAGAAAGAACAGACAAGAAACTGGATACCAAGAAAAGTAAACTGATTAAACATATTGCAAAACATTGGGAAAATCCAGACCAAATCTCTAAAGAGAAGAATTTTGCAGAGAATGGAGCATTGTCACCAAGAGCAACTCAGGAAGTAAGTGAGGTTACCATGTTTGGTGATAGCACAGACACAGTGGAAAAGAGCAATGGGCAATATAGATTTGGTGAAAATGTTACTCAAAAAATATTTTTCAGTGATGCACAAACTGTGATAAACTCAATATATGAAAATCTTGGCAGGGGTCATCATGGTTTATATTTACCCAGAGACAGTTTAAGTTTTCCTAAATGCAATGTAAGCCATTCTGTAGTGATTATTACACATTCCAAGAGCAGTACCGATAAGTGCAATAATTGTGTAAGTAATTTTAAGGATAATGTAAACCTTTCACAAGAGATTGTAACCTATGTCCATGACTACAATACCCATTCCAGTGATGAAGTACAACATTCCCAAGAGAGTGTAAATCATTCCAGGGGCAATGAACAACAATCCCAAGACATCGTAAGCCATTTCAGGGACTATGCACAACATTCCCAAGATAGTGTAAACCTTTCCAGGGACAATGAGCAACATTCCCAAGATAGTGCAAACCATTCCTGGGACAATGAGCAACAATCCCAAGATGTAAACCATTCCAGGGACAATGTACAACATTCCCAGGATAATGTAAACCATTCCAGGGACAATGAGCAGTATTCTGAAAACAGGGTAAACCATTCCTGTGATAATGTGCAGCATTACCAAAACTGTCTAAGCCAGTCCAGAGAGTGTTTACACCATTCCCAAGAATCTGTAAGCTCTTCCCACAGCAAGAGTTTTGATGTTAGAAAGCTGCCACCTAAGGGACCAGAGAACAGTCCTGATATACATGGTTGTACAGCAGGGTTAAGTAAGACCTTTGGGCAACTTGCCACTGTTAATCTCATGCACAATTTACTTGCAGTTTCTTTTCAGAGACAGGAAGAAGATATATGGTCCTCATATAGAGACACAGCCATGCCAGAGATAATTGATTTGATTTCTGATAGTGAAGGGGATGAAACAGTAAAGTCTTTAGACAGTTCCAAGAAAAATGCACTTTACAAGACTAGTCCTGAAAATGATACTCACTGTGTTTCATTAGAAAAGCAACAGATATCTATGTCTATTATTTCGCCCTTGAGGGAGAGTATTTTCAGCAAGCATTATCTTGCTCATGCGGCATCTCCAGAGAAGAGTCCGAGTGTAAGTAACAATGAGGTTAAAATAGTTACTGAAAATATAACCAGTACTTTGAAGATGGCGTGTAGTAGTCTTTTGGCTTAAAGGACAGAAAGAAAATAAACAAGCACTCCAAAAAAAGATATTTTTGCAGAGAAATGAAATTTTGATGTTTTCTAACGCACCTTTGGGTAATATCAGGCATTTGAAGAACCTAAAAATTAAACAAAACAAAAATTCCTGGTTATAAATTCGAAAGCAACAGTCATTGGAAACAGTATACTCTCTCTACAATGGAGAGAATTGAGAATAAAGGTGAACTCCTTACAATGGAGGGGATTAAGAATAAAGGTACTGGAGAAGCTACAGATATACAGCACTTTATTGCTGAAGATAATAAAACTGATTATCAAATTGTTGCTCTAGAGTATTCATCATCAATTCAAATACTTTAATAAGTATGGAGAGCAAGCATCATAGTCATTACAACCTAACAGCACTAGAACAGGTAGGTCAGGTAGAATCTGAGACTAAAGGTTCAAGTTCTTGTTCTCTTACAAAGGAGCCAGATGAGAGTCTTCACATAACTTCTTCAGAATATGTAGATTGTGTTCAGTTACCCATGAGAATGGAAGGTGATCTTAATAAGCTTTTAACATTTCAAAAAGAGAGTAATAGTGAGTACATAGCTATAAACAAGGTAGATCAGGAATGTATATCTCTAACAAGGAAAAGTGGTTGTGATTGTGTACATGTAGGTATGGAACATAAATCCGATCAACATGTGAACTTTAAAATAGATAATGACGCTGGCAGTGTGGAAAGCGAGTGTAATTATGATGTTCCTATGACAATGGAATGTATTACTGATTCAGTGCTCTTGAATGAGAATAGCAGAGATGAATCAGACTGTTTTAACTGTTTACCTATAGAGCATGATGCAATGGAGGTGCCTACTGGAGCTGATAATGTATTCTTTAATGGAGGTGAAAATCTGGGCAAATTCACCTCACTGGGTAGACATGCATCATCTGATGTTATTCAGAGGGACAGAGTTTCACCAAATGTCCCAGATAAGCTTAGTGTAGAAAGTTGTAGTGAAGCCAATATAGTCAAGCATTTTAACTCTCAGGAAAGTGTTAAAGATTATAAAAGTGTTATTAAGATGAGTGTAGGTGACGACAGTTTGTGCAGTGCACAGTCACTTGAACAGGACAGTTTTTCGTTAAAGGTACACACACATGAAATGACTAATCAGTGTTTGGGGGAAGAAAATGCTAGCCCTGAAAGAAATATATCTTTATATAACAAGCAGGAAGAGGAACACTTAGCAGATAGGGATGCTTGGGAGTGCTACAGCTCACAGCATCTCAAATCTCTCTTGCAACAATCAGGAGCACTGACTGACAGCAACCATCTCCTCTCAGTTCCAAGATGTTGTCTCACTGTGGAGCTTGTAATGGCAGCCATTAACTTAAGACTTTTTCAATTTAATGATGTGTTGGCTTGGATTTGTAAGATATGCACACCAAAGAACAGATCCTTCAAGGTTTTTCATTGTCAATTTGTGCAGTATCAACAGTTGTATGAATATTTTATGAAACAAGTGGGCCAGGACCAAAAGAAGGTTTGGAAGGATCTGTTTCAGAATTCGATTTATTGCTTACCCAAAGGCAAAGGCCTGCATCTGATATTTGGACAAAAACTTCGTGCAAATAAAGCAGTGGATATACCACTTCATGATCATGTTTACACGAATGATCTAGCTAATAAAACTTCATCACGTTTTGATTGGCACAAGCAGTTTGAGACTCAAGCAAACTTGATAAAAGACATGAGAAGTGAGATCAACAGATTGGAGCTGGAACTCAGTGTTAAGAATGAAGAATTTATGAGTCACCAGGAAAATTCAAAACAAGAAATTAATAAAATTAGGAAGGAGCTTTCAGTAGAGCAGGAGAAAGTAAAATCTTACAATAAACTGAAGGAAGAACTTAAATTAGCATGGCTTGTGTTAGATAACCAAAGACTCAGCATTGATAATAGGATAGCTAATACTGAAGAAAAGGAATCATATCTCAAGCAGCCTTGTGAAATTTTGACTGATCTTCATCAAATGGTTTTAGAAAAAGATTCAGAGATAAGTAAAATCCAAGAGAATTTGATAACCTGTCAGGATATGGTCAAAGCAAGAAATATCATTATAAGCCAACAACAAGAACTGATGTGCAAGGGTGAATGTGAAATGGTCCAAAAGGAGATTTGCATTAAACGTCTTGAAAAAGAAGTCAAGATTTTAGAAAATAAAGTGAAAGAGCGAGTGTCTCTCATACATGATCAGCAAGAACAACTCAAAATTTTTGATATGTGGGGTACTATTAATTATGTTAAACAACAAGAAGAGCAGTTAAAAAATTTACAAGAGGAAATAGGGAGATGTAATGTTGTGATAAACCAAAAAGAAGAAAAGTTAACCCAGATGAAAAATGCTGCTGCAGTAAGTGAATCTCTCAAGTGCCAACTACAGAAAGATATAGAGGCTGCACAGCACACAATACAGGAGAAAGATACTCGGATCCAGTGCCAGCAGTCACTGTATCATGATGCAGTGTATGATGCTCAGCAAAAAGAAGCTGTTGCACAAAGGTTAAATGAAGAATTTAATAAATGCCAAGAACTCTTGAGCCAAAAAGAAGACTATATAAAAAGTCTTACTGAAGAAAAAAGCATGCATATAGTTGAATTAGAAAAAAGACTTGTTTGCTGCAATACAAGTTTATTAGAAAGAGAAGACAAAATCACTAAGCTTCAGAAAGATCTTAATGCACTGCAGAAGATAGTACATGAAAAAGAAAAACTACTGACTGATTACAAAAGCACTTTTGGAGAGTTGGAGGTCATACTATCTGCTGATAGCTCCTCATCTGGCAGAGGCTTGTACGGTAGTGAAGCTCAACAGAAACATAAAGATATGGAATCCTTGCAAACATTTGGAGGCAGAATAACGAAAAGAAAATTGGTGAAAAAGGCTGAGCGTTGTCAACCTTGTTTAGATTATACAAAGAAAAATGAACAGCTGAGGCTAGCCACAGATAAAATAATAGAATTAGAAAAAGAAATTTTGTATTTAAGCAGACAGCTAAAAGAGGATAATCTTTCTACTGACAAGAATCGTATACTTGATTTAAAGATGAAGGTGTCAGAACTGAGATGTTGTATTATTTCTCGAGAACAAATGAACGCCCAGTTAGAAGAGCAGCTTAGGCTTCAGGAAGACTTGACCAAGAAGCTAAGAGATCATATAGTGGCTAAAAATGAAACTCTGCTTTATTTTTATCGCCGTTGTAGTAATACAACCACATTTGTGGGTTCTGGTCAAGAAAATACTGCTTTAAGGATGAAGTCAGAGCTGTCAGATCCCCTGACAGACCATTTTAGTTCAGGGATGCAAGAGTATGCTCAAGAGAGAGTGCAGGAGCCAGTAAAACAAACAAAGTTGGAATTGTTGGAAGATTCGTCATTGAGTCAAACAAGCAAGGATATTAAGGTATCTGATGGTACACTAGCTAATCAGGAACCCAGTGATGTGCTTCCTTCTGTTTCAAAAGAAAAGACACTTGCAACAGGGAAAAATGTATGTCATTCTAGTGCTAAGAAAACTATAAAAGTAAGGCTCAGTAAGAAAGTAGAAAATCAGAGCAAAGTAATTGCTATTAGAGAATTACAATGCATGAAAATAACTCTTTCTGAATACCACGAGAGGAATAGAGAGAGAAATCCTGTACATGAAAATGTAGAGCAAAATGTTATTGAATCTTGTGATTCTGACAAGCTTGAATACACCAAAAAGAGGAAGAGAAAGGAAATGGAAGGTACAGAGATTACTAAGCATTATGAGCACTTGCCCTCTAAGAAGTCCTTACATCCAGAAAATAAACATCGAATTTTACCTGCGGAAAATTTTAGCTTTGATGTACAAATGAAAAATGACACCAAAGAATGTCTAAGGCCCAATACTGAGCGAAGTAACAGTGCTGTAAGAGAGATGCCTGCTACATCAGTATCTGACCAAAATAAGAAGAAACAGTTGATCCACAAGAATTGTAAATACACTCGGTGTCATTCAGTGGGATCTAGCTCTGCCAGTCCTAAAATAATGCAAGAGATGTATCCACTAGAAATAATGAAGTTAAAGAAGACTTTAGAACATGCTAAAACAATTCATGATAAAGCTATGAGAAAGGAATTTGAAAATATTCTAATGTTGGAGGGGGAAGCTTGTGAAAGAGAGAGATTAATGGCCCAGCTTGTGAAAGATATCCATAATTTAGAGATCCAGTTACGAAATAGTGACACAGCTTTGGTTATAATAGAGAATGACAGAGAGAGAATTTATGCACTCTTGGAACAAGTTCAGACAAACCTTAAAGAAGCAACGAGAATGAATTGTGTGCTCAGTGACCTTATCAATCAGAAAGACAATGCCTTAAATGCATCTCAGGATGAGATAATTAAGTTGAATGTAGTTATAAAGCAAAACAGTGAAGAACACCAAAAGAAAGTGAAAGAGTTGAAAAGTACCATTTGTATTAAGACAGTAAATATTAACGAATTGAAGAAGCAGAATGATAAACTTGTAGAAGATATGAATAAGGAGAAGGAAAACTTGCTTGAAATTATTGATAAAATGAAAAAAGTTACAGGTGAAAAGAATAATGCATTGGAAGCTTTAAAAAATCAGAAAGATAGGCTTATGAAAGAAATGAAGGAAATTGAGATTAGTCAGTTACAAGAAAAAGCCCACTTGGAAGCCAGTTTGGAAGAAGAAAAGATAAAATGTAAAACCTTACAGAAAGATTATAATCAGTCTGAGAAGACTCTAATGGACAGTAAAGCAAATGTAGCTAAAATCAAGGAAAAACAGATAGAGGTTGAGAAACTACTGAAAGCAAATGAACTAGCAGCAATAGCATTAAGAGATAAATTAGAGCTTATGGAAATCACTTCTGCTGAAAAAGAGGCTATGATTTCACAGCTGCAGGAAGAGTTGAATAACATGAAGTTAACAAGGGAAAGGCAAGAGTCCAATATACAAGCTATTCTTGCAGAGAAGCAGAAATTTGAAGTGACTCTAAAGCAACAAGCTCAGTCATTAAGTGAGTATGTTCAAGAGATTGATCAAAAAGAAGTCATTTGTCAAAAGCTTCAAGATGCTTTATTATCAGAGAGAAGAGAGTCAGAACTGATAAAAATGGCAGCAGATAATAGTCTAGCTTTGAAAGAGCAAGAAATACTCAAGCTTAAAAATGATAAAGAGCATATGGAAGCTGAAATACAGTACTGTATGAATAAACATTTAGCAATTTTATCTGAAAAGGATAGATACTGGGAAGGAAAGTTGGATTTAGCTAGTAAGGATATAGATGAGGTAGTTAAAATAAATGGAGAAATTACAAATCAAATTAAGGACATTAAGGAAGCAAAATCTTTGATAAGAAAGGCATTAAGACTTAATTTAACAAGTTGTAAGTCACTTAACTTTAGACAGGAAGTTAACAGTATATGTAAGTTGAACAAGATGATTAAGGATGAGAAAAAGAGAGTTACAGTGTTAGAGCGTAAGCTTCTGCAAGAAAAGAAAAGAAATGGGATCTTCAAAAATCAACTCCAAATAGTAAAACAAAAAAAAAATGATGAAAAGAGAAAAAATAACCAAAATGTCAAATCCTTCATGGACCAAATATGCCAGACTGAATCTTCTCTGGCAAGTGATTTGAACATGCATATAGAAAGCAACAAAAATCTCCAGACTGCCTTGCAGACAGAAAAGCTAGTATCTGAAAAGTTTTATGAAAAGCTGTTGCTGGAACAGAGTAGGTCAAATGCCCTTGCCACTGGTCTTAAACAAGAATATGAGGAAACCTCAAAAGATCTAGAATACCAACTTTCTCTCTCCTGTTGGGTTGCAGAAAAGTATCGAGATAGAATGCGAAGGCTTGAAGAGCTCAGTGCCTTAACTGCCACTATGGAAGCCCCTGGAGAAGAGACGTCTCCTTAAAAATTTGATATAGTAACTAAGATATTACTTGGCATTATTTTGGTTGGTTGAGTAGATCATTGTTAAATGATCCACTGGCCTGTACTTAATGGGAAGACACCTTTCCAGGTATGTTTTGAAGGATCTGTTGTCTAAGACTGTTCATAAAATAGTTAATGTAATTTGAAATGTTATTAGCCTTAATTTAGCTAATGTAAAAATATTACAGTAATGTGCATATATTGTCTTTTATTACGTATATGCAACCAGTATATTTTTTTCATAACATTTATGTAGTTTGTAATTAAATGCAGTATTTTGTTGTAAGTGGTAATGTACTTTGTTTTGATACAATAGTTCTTATTTTTTAACTAGTACTGTATTTCCTTTTGTTGCTCTGTATTTCATTGTATTCTAATCCTTCCCAAATTTCTAATTTGTGGTCAGCATAAGAAACAAAAGCCATATACCTCTGCTGTCAGCTAGGGTTGGGGAAGGGGTTGGTGATACAAGATACAAAAATTTAGTGCAATTAATTTTATTGAGAGTTCAGAAGTAAAAAGTTACTTAGAAAACAATTATAATTATATTTTTAACAATGGGCCTTGATGAATATAATGTACTCAATGAAACCAATGATGGCTCAATGGATAGATGATTTTGGTCGATTGCAGTACATGGACACCATCTTTAAGGGAATAAATTGGTTGGTATTATCACAGTATAGTACTTTCATTGCAACCTGTCAGGAAAAAAAGATGGGTGTACAATACATGTATATAGTTAGAGAATTCTATAACTTAATTTCTGCCATGAAGGCTTTTAGCTCATTTTGATTTATTTTGGATATTTGAAAAGTTAAGATTAATATTACAAATTACATTATTATGCTGTTGATCCACCTCGAGTTTTCATTTTGGTTTGTATAAAAACTCAAGGGGAGTAAATATTTCCTTGTGCCCTGACCTCATGTTACCACTATGTGCAGTAATTTGTAAAGCATTGCACTTAGTTAAAAAATGTATACTCTATTTTCAGTTGTAGGTATGGATGAGTTGCCAGTGATTTGCATGTAATTTGTAATTCTGTACATAAAATTCTTGAAATAACTGTGAATATGTTGAGTGCATTGTTCCAATGTAGGTGCCTATGTGAGGGAGATGTTACATGGTAACTTGAACCCTCAGTCAGAACAAAGGATTTTTAGTTTTATATTCTTAAGAAGCAATCACTAGGTTCAAGAGGTGAGAGGAGAAATATATCCAGCACTGTGTAAACAGTAGCACAAAGAAGTAATGAATACCTACTGGTAATTGAATCATATGTTTACCTAATTATCTGTATGTAATACTTTATTAATGCTCACTTAAGATGTACAATATATTAATGTTCCTTTGAGATATATTGTATATTAATGTTCTCATAATATATACAGTATATTAATATTCTAATGCAGTATACAATATATTAATGTTCTCATAAGATATTCAGTATATTTGTTCTTATAAAATATAATGCATATTCAATATTTTGTTCGAGGAAAAAGTGAAGCAGGCAAGAAACTAAGTGGTTTAGCACTTAATGTTGCTGAATGCAAAAAATGTAATTCAACTGGTAGCTTCTTGAATATATGATTTGAATATGTATACTGTAGAACCTTTTTTTTATTTGAATGTTTATATGCAGTAAGCCATTTTTTTGGCTTAGCATTATACAGGACTAAGAACTCAGGATCACACTGCAGGAATTCATAAATAGATTTTAAGTTCCTTAAATTAATTTTTGTTATTTGTTTGAAGATAAATTTTCATTGCATTTTCTTCATGGATATCAGTATTTTAAAAAATATTAAAATTTTGTTAACCTGTAACATATAAAATTAGAGAGGAATTTTTATTTAATATAAAATTTTGTTTGTCATCAAGGTGTTATGAAGTTTTTATGAAACCACTGGTAAATATTATTTTTTTTTTTTTTTTTTTTTTTTTTAATATAAAGTTTACAACCTTAGCATAAGTGGCAGTTTGTTAATTTGCTTAATAAAATTTGCCTTGAGTTTTGATGATACAGTACATATTTGAAAATAAATTTGCCAAAATATGTTCACTCATTCATATTAATTTTGTACCAGTAGAGCCCTTGATGACACTTTGAAATTGAATCTTGTTCCTTCTAGAGAGTTAATTCATACATTGTTTATGCCATGGAAGCATGTACTTTCTTCTGCATAGTTTTGTTATTTTTATAAATTTGTCAATCATTTCCTAATACAGTGCAAGTTCGTAATCTTTTCACTATTACCCACAGGATGGGTATGTGGTGAATAATAAATATGCCAAATCAATTGTTCTCTAGCTGCCTTTCATAGACATCCTAACCACTTGTTGGTTCATCAAAAAGTACGAGCCTGGCCCATGGCTGGGCTCTGGAAGTAGAAAGACTCTCGAAACTCATTAAAGGTATAGCAATATTCCTGATGGCCTTTACAAAATATAGGCATGCATTTATAGCCAGTTACCCCTGAAGCTTCTTGTAGATACTATGATGCTCAAGTATTGACTTATACCATTAAGTTAAACACTGGTAAACCACTTTTGCTGCTTCCTTAATTGGGTGCTCTTGTAACCCCTATAGGTTTAACCTTTCCCCATGAATATTGCTATGATAATACCCTATTTCCTCTTCAAGGGGGGCTCCTTGGCGTGGTGAAGAGGCTCTTGGTCTGAGGAATTAGACCTGTCGGTCTTCTTCCTCAGACCGAACCTAATTACCCCCCAATCTCCCCTCCCCTATCCCATCCTCCCCATCCTCCCCTTTTTCCTTTCCTCCTCCTCCTCCTCCCCACCCCTCCCTTTTGCCCTTCCTCTTTTTGGCCTTTGAGATTTCTCCCACAGGCGCGCTAGTTCCTAGGTAGGGGAAAGGATACCGGGGTCTATCCCATTCCGTTGAGGTTCTTGGCGGTGGCGTAGTTTGCCGTGGAATCTGGATCGCCTGGGGATGTCCCGATCCCTCTCCGGTATCCCGGAGTAGCTTTGGGTGTCTTTCGGGTGACGGGTGTATCTCTGGAAGCCACCTTTCGGATTCCGGGGGTGGTGGCCGAAGGAGGTATGCTTTGTGGCGGATATCCGGCCGCCCTCTCTTTTGTCCACCGAGGTAGCTCGGCAGATGTGAGGTTGCTATCCCGGATTGTTAGTTTACTATCATGATGGGTAGGGTATGGCACGGGTTCCATGCTGCATCTGCGCTACTTGCGGTGCTGAGGTCCTCTTGGGCGTGGAGGGAGATTTCTGGCCCTTTCATTCCTCCTAGGAACTATCCCTCCCCGGTCCCCCCTTTTTATGTTCTTTTTTTTATTTTTATTTTCTTTTCTTCTTTCTTTTGTTTTCTTAAAAACAAAAAGAAAGAAGTAACCTAACCATGGCAGCCCTAGTCCATGAACCTACTACCCCCGGGCCCCTTCTTGATACCGCACCCCGTTCTGATCCCGCCTCGTCTTTGGACCACTCTTCAGACACTCCTCATGCCTCTGTACCTATTGCCAGTGCTGTTTCCTCACCCGCTTCAGGTACTGAGGCCTCGACTGACTCCTTCGATTTATCGGACCTTCGCTCTCCTCTGACTATGCTTCCGGCCTCTCCCTCTATGGTGCGGCAATTTTCAAATCGCCGATCCGTTCCACGTCGGACCAACTCTGGTCCCACGCCTAAATGCCAACGACAATTACCTGCTGATGATACTTCTCCACCTTCTCGTTATTCTCAGAAATGATCGACACGTCCTTCACTACCTTTCCACGCTCAGTTTCAGACTGAACAATGGACTAAATTCTTCACTTTACGACCGACTTCCTCTACTGCCTATCTTTCTGACCACAGTATTGGCAAGGCACTCCTACGCCATGTTGGTAAAGATATTTCTTTTCATGCTCTTAAGAGCGGTACGCGCATCATTACCATACAGAATGCTACCCAGGCTCATGAGCTCTCTCGTCTTTCCCATATCGATACTGTTCCTGTCACTCTTGAAAAACATCATTCCCTCAATTCTTGTAGTGGTACCGTCATTCTGCCCCATACCATAGTTCAACAAAATTTCCAGACATGTGGCACTGACATTCTTGAACAGCTGGAACTCCAAGATCTCCCAATCCTCAAGGTAGACACTTACGTTCTTCCTGCCCGCGGGCGGAGACGATACCCTAGCAATGTGGCTCGTTTAACTTTTGACAGCCGAGAACTCCCATCCTCAGTTTATATAGCAGGACATCGGTTACAAGTTCGAAAGGTGATCCCTACACCACAACAGTGTAGAAATTGCTGGCGATTTGGCCATCCAGCGAAATATTGCAGATCTATCACCGAATGCCCAGTCTGTGGTGCCGATGACCATTCTAATACGTCTTGCAATTGATCTCCCTCTTGCCTTAACTGTCATGAGGCTCACCCTTCGTACTCTCGCCGTTGTCAAGTCTATTTAAACGAGCGGGAAATCCGTTACCTCAAAGAGACAGAAGGTCTCCCTTATGCCATGGCAGTTTCTCATCTCCGCCTCCAAGGGAGACTCCCGCGTGTTTCTTATTCCCGTGTTTCAAAACGTCCCCCCACTTCTGGTATCCCATCTTCTACACCCACCTCTGTGGTTACCTCTCCCATAGTCACTCCTGTATCTAATCCTTTTGCTGTCCTCGGCTCAGACGTCCCTACTTCTTCGAGTTCTCTCTCACAAGCCTCAGTATCGACGAGACCTCGTACGACACCTCCCAATCGTCCCTCTACTTCTCAAAAGTCAAAAAAGGTCCGTTAACACCTCCTACCCATCTTTCACCTCCTCATTTTACCCTCCCTGTCTCTGTCCCTGGTTCTCCCCCTCTCACTGGCTCAGTTACAAGTGTAGAGGTTCACCCTCCTCGTACTGTACCTTCCTCCCCTGTTCCCTCCCAAGTTTCTTCATCTTCTGCCACCTCCCAGGTTCCTGCCTCTTCTGTCCCCTGCCACGCTTCTCCAGTTCCCTCCACCCTTTCGCCCCCCCCCCTACCTTGGTACAGTCCAATACAGTTCCAATCTCTACTCATCCTCCCCCTACCATTTCCAATATTGTCTCCCATACGACGTCTCTGAATTCCGAAACACTTGAAGCAATCTCTGAATATATTGCAGAGACCAAACCATCAATGGACACTGATCCACCTTCTGCTCTTTCTCTCTCCTCTGCTCCATCTGCGCAACTTCTTTCTTCACAGCACACTGTTCCTTCGCTGCTTGAACGTTTTCCACTGCCTCCGCATGTGGACTTTTCTAACCCCTCTAGTCCATAGGAACCCTTACCTGCGGATTTCAAGTATCTTTATCATTGCCAATCATGGCCTATTTACAGTGGAATATACGCGGAAAGGGTTTTTTAGCTTTGAGTTCCTAAAGCTTCCTGGCCATTAGCAGTGGTGGAAGTACTACTGGAGGTTGTCTGCACATCCACTATTTTTATTCCAGTTCTTCAGCCATGATTAATAATAGAACGATGTTGGGACCATTGATGGTCTGTTTGGCAAGTTTTTTACAATTAATTACGGTGGAGTCATCCCTGGAAAGTTATTTCTGGTTGCATTAGTGGTGGAGGTGATATTCTGTGAAAAGTTTACCGACCATTTTAGTGTAATTTTTTTGTTTCGTCTCCCCTGGAGTATATATTTGCTTTCTACTCACAAGCTTGTACTCTACTCTTAAACCGAGGCAGATAAGGGAGACTATACTGCCCAACTAGTTTCTTCAAAGTGGGTTGCTGTGATATAGTTGAAGGTCCTTGCTCAGAGTAACTATTTTTTTTCCCTGGCTTCAACCTAATCACTTCCCATTTCCTGGTACTGTATAACTTTACAGGTTTAGCACTTCCTATGCATGTAATCTAAGGAATTAGATCTACCCTTCCCTTGGATAAAACCTAACTGCTTCCCATTTCCCAGGTGCTGTATGACCCATATGGGTTTAGTACTTCTCCATTAACATACAACCTCTGGCATTGTATGATCTATACAAGTTGAGAGTTTTTATGTGAATATTATAGAGTAGCGATATAGACTGTATCTGCAAATAAACCTTCAGGGGAGATAAGGTGTCTTAATGTTGAAGGGCTCTTGAAAGGAATTGGAGCTACCCTTTTCTTGGTATCCCATGGCCTGGTCGGCAATGCTCTTGCCTCACACACAGAGTGTCTGTGGTTCAATCCCTGGCAAGGGTGGAAACATTGGGCATGTTTCCTTACACCTACTGTTCCCATTCACCTAGGGAGTAAGTAGGTACCTGGGTGTTAGTCAACTGGTGTGGGTCGCATCCTGGGGGAATAAGATTGAGGTCCCCAATGGAAATCAGACAGTCCCACGATGATGCACTACCTTTCTTGGGTTATCTTGAGTGGCTAACCCTTTGGGGTTAAAAATCCGAACAAAATGTTATCTCTTATCATGGGTTTAGCGCTTTGTTGTGATTATTTAATTTCTTGGATCAAGCCTTATTACTTATTATATTTCTTGTATCATGATTCCTATGGATTTAGCATTGGCCATACTTGTCTTACTCGTGGATATCTCATGGAGAGGCGCCCTGCTCCTCTCTGTGAGAAATGCCAAGCTCCATTATCAGTCAGCCACATTCTGTTGGACTGCCCACTTTATCAACGAGCATGCAGAATTTACCTTCGTCGTCGCCTTCGCTCCACTGCTCTCTCTTTACCTTCCCTTCTCGCTGATGGACCCACCTTTCATCCGGACTCTCTCATTGAATTTTTGACAACAACTGACTGACTTCACAATTCTGATACCTTCAGCCCTTTCTACTTCAATCTCTTGCTACCCTCTACCCCCGTACTATCCCCTGCCCCGCTGTTTTCTGTAACCTACTGATCATCCCTCCTCCCTTCTGCCATCCAATACCCTCGCTTCCTTCCCTACCCTGCAGCGCTGTAGAGCCCTTGTGGCTTAGCGCTTCTTTTTATTATAATAATAATATGGATTTAGCACTTTACCAGTGAATAAACCAATCTATCAGCACCACACACACTAAAGTTAAATTATCTATCAGCAATAGATGCTGTGAGATCCTATCAACATCACACATGGAGTGAGAAGACTGGACGTAGAACACAACTTGGGAGATGTGACGCTGCAGAGAGAATACATGGAGAAAGACCTAAGGGTAAACATAGCACTTAAGTATATCTCCAGAAGCCCATGTTAACCATTTAATTTCGGTGGCATGTGGAAGACTAACCTAAGAATATACACATGCTATGCACGAAGCATGGGACACCAACATGGAACCCTCGCATGATCAAACATAAACCCACAAAGATTTA